TTTTAAATAAAATTTTTTAAAAATGAGAAAAAAAATAAAAAGTAAAAAAAAAAAAAAGAAAATAAAATTTTAAAAATCTGTTTTTCAAAACCTGGCCTGAGGGCTGAGGATTAAGCTCAGTGGCATAAGCGCCTGCCTTGCAAGCCCATGAGTTCGATCCATGGTACTGTTTAAAACATAACAAAACAAAACACTTGGCCTGAAAGAACTTTTTTAGCAAAGAAAGAAACATGGCTCCAGAAAATAAAACAAAAGCCACACACTTGTCAATTTTTTTTCAAAACAAAAAATAGCCTAGTTTTGACACATACCCACTACTTATGATCTTTAAAATATACTACTTTTGGGGTAAATACAATAGTTTGACTTGATAAAGTTATAGTTTGTGGAGGGAAAACCTTTGTTACTGTCCATTGTCATATCAAATGAATATTTAAAAAACAAAGCTAAGCCAAAATAAAACAAGGTGCAAATCTTTGCAATGTCAACTAATGGAAATGGCCAAACCAAGAGTTGGAACTGTTGTTTATACCAAGAGTTCTTTTTCGTTGTTGTTGTTTTTAGACAGGGGCTCACTATGCGGTGAGGCTGGCCTTGAGCTCACTTTGTAACCCAGGCTGGTCTCAAACTCACAACAATCCTCCTGCCTCTGCCTCCAGAATGCACCACCACGGTCCACTACAGCAAGCTTCTTTTGTATTCTTTTCGGTCTTCCCTGTGATTCCCAAATTTTGGCAGGGGAGAAGTAAACTGTAGTCCTTTTTTAAAGCTTTTGGGAAAGGAGAGAAAGCAGATCAGCTGCTGTAAACCTCAAAGTACTCATGAGTAAGAGCCAAAGAAGGAGGCCTCTGAAAGCAAGGTCTGTGGGCAGCTTACGGTCCTGCTGACATGATTTCTTATGGTAAAAGATTTTCAAAGAAAATGGAATTCTAGGGCTGGGGCTTTAGCTCAGCGGCACAGCACCTGCCTTCATGTTGCAAGTACAAGATCAGAAGGTTGATCCTTGGTACCAAAAACAACAACAACAAAAAAGTAATTCCATAATTTTCTTTGTAGGCCGTGCTGAACTGGTTAATTTTGCTCAAAGTATTCATTCAAATATTTTGTGTGAAGAAAATAGCCATATGACTGAATTTTTTCTTTAAATCCATTGTTAAATATAGGACGGCTGTGGCTGCTTCCCTTTGACCATATTGGGATCTTTAAAAATAATCCTAATTAAAGGCTTGATATTAGAAAGATTAGAAGCATTTTTTATCTTACTCCCCAAGAAACTAAACTTCCCAAAACAAAAATCTGGCAGAAGATCAAGAAGCCGTCAATCAACACAATGTTCATATGTCATTTTACTAGTAGATATTTCAGAGAATCTTCAAAGGAGTTTCCATCTGAATGAAATTCATGAGAAGTTTATTAAGTGGCTAAATCTTTTTACATCTATAAATTAGTGTAGCCGGGGCTGGGGATTTAACTCAGTAGCATAAGCTCCTGCCTTGCAAGTACATGGTCATGAGTTCGATTCCTGGTACCGGTAAAAAAAATTAAAAATAAAAATAAATACATTAGTGTAGTCTGTGAAACCCATAAGCTTATGAAATTTAAAAGATTCCTTCAAACTTTAGCATGAGCCAGGAGTAATAACCTAACATAATATAAAATAATATTGATCTCTACAAGTCACATAGAGAATTACGTTGTTTAGTTATGATCATTGACGGAAAAACTGATTGTGTCGATGGCCTCTAAAAACAATGACGCAATAACAACACACTTTAAAAATACCCACCAATTATATAATTGGCAAATATATGAGGCAAAATAGCTTATGCTCAGGGATCCAAAAAAGCACTACACATTACACTTCCATTAATAAGTCAGTTTCAAACAGGGGCATAGTAAACACCCCACAGTTCAAAGTACAACATTCAGAAAACACTGTGAATTTAAAAAGACAAAATAAGAGTACCTTAATTTTTAATATTGATGAAGCAAAGTATATTTTTTTCCTTAGGGTGGCAAATCACTTCAACTGTTTTTTTACAGTGACAATTTTTAGGGCTAAAGCAAATTATTAAGGAAACACAAAGATTCAAACGAAATTCCTTTTGGCTGGCAGGCAAGAAGGAAACAACAAAGAAATACAAATATTTTCAGGGAAGCATTATATCTAGATTGAAGCACTGGTCATGAAGATAGATACGTGGGGTATCGAATCCGGTGCAGGCTGGATTACTGAAGTGTGCCGAGAGACTGTTCTTCAGCTAGCTATCAGCCTAACACTATGAGGACTGCATCCTTATGATACCCTTATCTTAATAGGAAGCTGCAGAAGACATGAAGCGATTTTTCTACAACCTTTCTTTTCACAATGGTTGTACTTTCAATCACATATATCAAAATAAAATGAAGGGCTGGGGATTTAGCTCAGCAGCATTAGCACCTGCCTTGCAAGCATGCAGTCAAGAGTTCGATCCCCGGTACTGATAAAAAAAAAATAAAATAAAATGAAATACAGAACATTATAGAACTTATCAAAATAGAATATTGAATTGAGCAGTATCATTAATCAAAATAAAGCAAAACAGTAATAAAAATATTTGCCTTCAAAGAGATGGTAGAAGGAAATCCCCCTTATTTGCTATGGTCAACCTCCCAAGAGGTGCTCAGATCTCTGGTTCCCATTTGCTAACAGGGGGCAGGAGAAGTGGGGTAGGGGAAGTGGAATGTGTGACTCTCAGAGCCTGTGCACCAGTAGGCTCACTATTGCTTAGCAGGGAGGGAGGTTGCTTGCTTGGTTTCCCAGCACCCTAAGTTCAAACAGGGCGTGGATCTCAGGAGAGGCTGGTGGTTCTCCCCCTGGAGAGGCCTAGGCACCACCACATTCTTTTTTAACCATTTATTTCTTCTTCTTGTTCAGAAGAGAGCTCCTTGGAAGTCATGTTAATTTGAATTCTCAAATCAAAAAATAAGTGCCTGCTGTTTAAAAAAAAAAATCCTAGCCTGGGATTTAGCTCAGCGGCATAAGGCCTGCCTGGCAAGTGTAAGGTCATGAGTTCAATCCCCAGCACCAAGAAAAAAAAAGTTTCCAAAGAAAAAAGAAATCTGAGCTCACAGTTTGTGAAGAAGGCCTTGGCCCAGAAGGGAGAAATGGCAATCGGGTGTAAGCACAGAAGAATGTCTGTTGTCCGACTCAGACCTGTCGAGGCTCACAGAAAGAACAAGTGGAGGCTTGGCCAGTCCCTCTCTGAACACTGTTTGGTTACTTAGAAGATGGGCCACTGGTTGGGTTATTACATCAATGCCTGTATTTACCAAGACCTTAACAGGTTTTCCCCTGACCCTCTCAGGTAACATGGATTACCTGGGTGAGAGACAGGAACCCATGACCCAATTAGCCTAGAAATTCCATCCTAATTAGCCTAAAACTTTCATCATTAACATTTTACTTTTTTCTTCTGTAGCAGCTTTGGGCATCCCCACTTGAGACGCCCCATCTCCTTACCAAAGGCACGCTGGTTGGGATCCAGTGAAATTCGTCTCCTTCCTTGTTGGGCCCACCTTTTGCCCCTCTTTTACTTCTTATCCCTGTCTGTGCCTCCTTTTAATGGGTTGCAAGCATCACCTTCGTCTGTTCCTCCTGAGCTTTCTACTTTTATACAACCTCTTGTCTCTTTGCATACTTTTTGCTCTCCTCCGAGGTAAGTAGAGTATAGAGCAATCGCTGACAATCAGTCCAACGGGGATGCGAGTCTTAAACACTGATATAACCAAGTTAATCAGAGGTTCTGGTTGCTCAAAGAATGGGGGATTCTGAGTTTTTAGTTTTACAGATCACCGGAGCTAAATAGGTTACTTACAAAAATGATTTCAATTACTCCTTCAGGTCCCAGCACCGTCACTTCCTGCAGAGGCAAAACAGGAACTAGAAAAGGGAAAACATTCCCTCCACAGAGGGTGGGCACTCTCACCATGTGGCCTGAGCTCCACCATCGAGGCTCAGCCACCGGGAGTCCAGGTCTACACAGGGTGAGCTACTTTTTCTATATTTCTTTGTAATTTAGCCACTCCAACCAAAAACAAGACAAAAATCCTAGCTCACAAAGCTTGAAAAGATGGCAATGGTGATCTCTGCCAGTGGTGGGCTAGAAACACATAAGCTCCACACACAAAAGGCAAATAATCCTGGGGAGAAATGCACTGCCCCCTGACCTCAAATTTGGTACAGACTCAGAGAAAAATTTCCTGACAGGCAAAAACACCATGTCTCGTGGGCAAGGCTCTTCTCGGGTTCAACAAACAACCAAATGCTGTCACAAAACAAACTCCTGATCAAGCTATATGCTAATTGCCAAACCGGGAAACCAAAACCAATGTCCAAAAATGGTTACCTTGGTCAGGGACAAGTACTTAGCTGTTTCAGTCTTGTGGCCAGAGGCATCCATCCCTTCAAATGATACTGAAGGGCTGGTAGAAATCAGCCAGGGTTCCTTGCTACCCAGGTGCCAGTTGTTGGGAAGGAGACAGTGCAGCCCCCTCAAAAGATGCTTTCCATGTGAGTGTATCTCACTGGGGCCCCCAAATGTAATGGTACCTTCGAGAATGTTACCCATGGGAAACCAAGATTTGACAAATAAGTGAGCTTTATTTGGAGCTGCAGCAATCAGCAGCACATTCAGGCAGTTAAAGTTGTTAACCTGAGTTTTTTTTTGGATTTTTAAAAAATATATACTTCTTTGTTCTGATTCCTTATATATTCATGGATGAGTTCACAAGATCAAGGGGTTACCATAGATACCACTTTTGCAACTCCATCATTGCTTTGGAATGTTACAAGACCTTCTGACCTGGTTAGTTGACACAGAGGATGTAGACACCAGGCACCTTGCTTACCTTGAGATAAAATCATTTGTTCCTCTTCCATACTTTTTTATGGCCAATTAAGGGAGGAGTCTTTTTGGGAATGTGGCCACGTTCACCTGCTATTTAAAATCTAACTGCTAGTGCTCACTTAGGCACCACATATAGTAAAATTGGATCAATACAGAGAAGATTAGCATGGGCCCTGAGCAAGGGTGACACCCAAATTCATGAAGCATTCCATATTTTTAAGAAAAGCATGCAGTGAAGTATTTCAGATCATAAAGGAAAAAGATTTCCAATCTGGACTGATGTACTGTGCAAAACTGTCCTTCAAAACCGATGCAGAAATAAGATACTTCCAGGACAAGGAACAGCTGAAAAACTTCATGATCACCAAGCTAACCCTGCAAAGAATACTGAAAGACAGCCTAGATATACTTAGGAAAAAACCACTAAACACAGCAGCCAATTAAATAGAACAGAAAGATAAAGATGCAACAGCAGAAAGATAACATGTCAACAATACATTAATATATAACAGTTATAACCATTAATGTAAATGGTCTCAATGCACCAATTAAAAGAAACATACTGGAAGAATGGATCCAGAAACAAAATTCAACCATATGCTGTCTATAAGAAGCCCATCTAAACCAAAAAAAATACAGACTGAAAGTCAAAGGATGGAAAACAATACTTCATGCAACAGGTTCCCAAAAAAAGTGGGTTTAGCTATTCTGTTTGCAGACAATGTGAACTTCAAACCAATAATGATCAGAAGAGATAAAGGAGATCACTACATACTGGTTAGGGTAAAACTCCAAGAGGAAGAGCTTACTATCTTAAATATATATGCACCAAATTCCAGAACACCCAATTATATAAAAAAAAAAGTACTAACAGAAATGAAAACCAAATTAACAGTAACACAATTCTAACAGGAGATCTTAACACAACATTGACACCAATGGACATATCAACCAGACATAAAATAAGCATAGAAATAAAAGAATCACACCTGTGAACAAATGCACTTAATAGACATATACAGAGTGTTCTACCCAACAATGACAGAATACACATTCTTCTCAGCAGTACATTGGCCATTTTCTAAAATAGACCATATATTAATTCACAGAACATATTTAAATAAATGCAAAAGGGTTGAAATTACCCCTTGCACGCATTCGGACCATAGCACTATGAAATTAGAAATTAATGATAAAAGATACTGCAAAATTCCCACAAACACATGGAAACTGAATAACATACTCGAGTAATCAGTGCGTCACAAAGGAAATTAAAGAAGAAATTAAACAATACCTACAAACAAATGAAAACACAAATACAATTTATCAGAATCTGTGGGATGCAATGAAATCTGTCCTCAGAGGAAAATTTATTGCACTGAGTTCCCACATAAGGAAAACAGAGTGAATACAAACAAATAGCCTGATGTTACACCTCAAACATCTAGGAAAAAAGAGCAAGTCAAGTCCAAAGCCAAAAGAACAAAAGAAATTATAAAACTCAGAGCAGAAATCCATGCAATAGAGACTAAAAGAAATCCAAAAAATCAATGAATCAAAGAGTGGATTCTTTGAAAGAAAATAAAATCGAAGGCCCCTAGCCAACCTTACTTAAAAAAGGGAAGGAAAAGCTCAAATTCATGCAATAAGGAATGAAAGAGGTGAAACCACAGACCCTATAGAAATACAGAAGATCATCAACACCTATTTTGAAAACCTCTACTCTCAAAGGTTTAATAACAGAAGAAATAGACAGATTCCAAGAAGCATACAAAGTACCAAAGCTAGATGTCATGAAGATGTAAAAGTGTTGAATAATGCAATTTCTATTAATGAAATTAATAGAAATCATAATTAAATCTTCACCTACAAAGAAGAATCCAGGCCCAGATGGATTTACTGCAGAATTCTACAAGAAATACAAAGACCTAATGCTAACACTCCTCAAACTCTTCAATGAAATTGAACGGGAAGCAATCCTTCCTAAATGATTCCTAGAAACAAATATTATTCTAGTACCAACACCTGAGAAAGACCCAACTGAAAAAGAGAACTACAGACCAATCTCCCTAATGAACACAGGTGCAAATATCCTCAATAAAATGTTGGCAAATAGGATGCAGCAAATCATCAAGAAGATAATACACCATGACCAAGTGGGTTTCATCCCAGGCATGCAGGGACAGTTCAATACACATAAATCAATAGATGTAATACACCATATCAATATAGGCAAAAGTAAGAATCATATGATGATTTCCATAGATGTAGAAAAAGATTTGATAAGGTCCGATGTTCATTTATGATAAGAACCTTAAAAAAATTGGAATAGATGGTCTTTACCTCAATATAATAAAGGCTGTCTATGACAAAGCAACAGCCAATATCATACTAAATGGCCAAAAATTGAAGGCCTTTACTTTAAAATGAGGTAAAAGACAAGGATGTCCCTTATCACCACTCCTATTTAATATAGTACTGGAAATACTAGCCAGAGCAATTAGACAAGAGAGAGAAATAAAAGGTGTAAATATAGGAAAAGAAGAAGTTAAATTATCATTATTTGCAGATGACATGATACTCTATATAGAAGATCCCCAAAACTTCATTGAAAGACTGCTAGGTATAATAAATAAATTCAATAATGTAGATGGATATAAAATCAATACTCAAAAATCAATAGCATTCCTATACACTAACAACAAAGTCACAGAGAGAGAAATAAGAGAAGCCACATCCTTCACACTAGCAACGAAAAAAATGTAATATCTAGGAATTACTCTCACAAAAGAAGTGAAAGACCTATACAGGGAAAATTATAATACACTGAAAAATGAAGTTGAAAATGATCTCAGAAAATGGAAAGACATCCCTTGCTCAGGGATAGGAAGAATAAATATTTTGAAAATGGCCATTCTCACAAAACTTTTATACAGGTTCAATGCCATCCCAATAAAAATACCATCAACATACCTCATAGAACTTGAGAAATCACTCCTAAAATTCATCTGGAGTGAGAAAGAGAGCTAGAATAGCAAGGACAGTTCTAAGCAGCAAAGGCAAGGCATGAGGTATCACAATCCCTGACTTGAAGTTATACTACAAAGCAACAGTAGTAAAATCAACATGGTACTCAATTAAAACAGAGCCTAGATCAATGGAATAGATTAGAAGATACCAATACAACTATAAACACACTCAACCACCTTATCTTTGATAAAGGAGCCAAACAGGTTCACTGCAAGAATGACAGTCTCTTTAATAAATGGTGTTGTAAAAACTGGCTCTCCATTTGCTGAAAACTAAAACTAGATCCATGCCTATCATCATGTACTAAGTTAATATCAAAATGAATCAAAGTTCTGAATATTAAAACCGAAACGCTAAATCTATTGGAAGACAATTTTGGTAGAAACCTTGAAGACATAGGGGTAGGTAGAGAACTCATGAACAGGACTCAAACCGCACGGGAAATACTTCCCAGAATCAATAACTTGGACCAACTCTTATTAAAGTTTCTGCATGTCAAAAAAATCTCCAGTATAGTGAAAAGAAAACCCACAAACTGGGAGAAAATCTCAGTGAACTCCCCCTCAGAAAAGGGACTTTTGTCTAAAATATATAAAGAATTGAAAAAAACTTACATCCCCAAAATTCAAAGATCCAATCCAAAAATGGGCATCTGAGATGAATACACACTTCTCAGATGAAGAAATACAAATGACAAATAAATACGTGAAAAAATGTTCAACATCATTGGTCATTAGAGAAATGCAAATTAAAACCACACTGAGATTCCATCTCACTCCTGAGAGAATGGCCAGGATCAAGAAAACCAACAACCACAAATTCTGGAGAGGCTGTGGGGAAAAAGGAACTCTCTTGCACTGTTGGTGGGACTGTAGACTGGTACAACCTTTGTGGAGGTCAGTCTGGAGATTTCTCAAAAACCTGGGATTGGAAATCCCATTTATTCCAGCTATTCCACTTCTAGGCATATTCTCAGAAGAACTGAAAGCATCATACCACAGTGATATATGTGCACCTATGTTTACAGCAGCACAATTTGTAATTGCCAGATCTTGGAAACAACACAAGTGTCCATCTACTGAAGAATGGATGAAAAATTTGTGGTATTTTTATACAATGGAGTACTACTCAGCTCTAAAGAAGGATCACATTGAGATATTTATAAATACATGAGCGCAGCTTGAGACCATACTCATACATAAAATAAATCAGACTCATATGTGTGAATACCAAATAGTTTTCCTAGTATAAGGAATGATTCAAATATATAAAAGTATGTGGTACGCATGATTCCCCATTATGTGGCCTTGAAGCCCTATAAAGTTTTCATTCATTAATTGGAATGTCTTTATTCTGGGCTCCTTGATATTATTGCCTGTGATGAAATGAACAGCTATTTTGAAGAAAACAAGACATCACAATAGCTAGTGCTGATTTAATATCATCTTGTTTGAGGCCCCACCAAATGTTGCTCTTCTGTCTCCATTGATTTTATCATGATGTATCTTACTGGATTTTATTATATGTGCCAGTATAAACAAAAACTTTTATAGGCAAAGAGATAATATAAAAACCATTGTTCATTTTCCGTTAGCTGGTTGTAAACACCCTGTAATACTTTTATCCACTTGAATGGCTTCACTCTGTCTTGATATGTTTGATGCTTTGGTATCCAAAGTTATATTCAAATATTTCAAGGAAAAATACACTATGGTAACTACTATTAAGTCGAGTTACTTGGTGGTGAAGCACTAGGTTTCTGAAATTGTCATGCTTTAATCTGTATTGTTATGTTTTTATGTCCTCTTTTATCTCAATCTACCCCTTATTCATTAAAAAATTATTTATTTATTATTTCAATTAAGGGGAAAAATAAAAAAATTAGCAGGATATATTATAGTAACTTTTATGATTTCAAATTAACTTGGTTTGAAGCCCTGTATTACTGCTACTATCTTGTTTTAGCTCATTAGACAGTATTCCATTATGTTTGATAGTATCGAGTTTGAGGTTATAGGCAACTATTTTGAAGGCAATAAGATTCACTTTCTCATGTTTCAGAATAACCTTTCCAACATCCTTCTTTGTTAATGTTCCTCGAAATTCCTCTCTGAACTTTATTGGTACTACATCTCTTTTCTGTTTGATTTAGTATTTTCACTCTTTTAATTCTTTTAGTATGAATATC